GAGGGTCAGCCACCCAGGATGACCCAGGGGGAGGGTTAGCCACCCAGAATGACCCAGGGGGAGGGTTAGCCACCAAGGATGACCCAGGGGGAGGGTTAGCCACCCAGGATGACCCAGGGGGGAGGGTTAGCCACCCAGAATGACCCAGGGACAGGGTTAGCATCAGAGCGTCACTGAGGACTGTCAACTTTCCACTGTGGTCCATAGAATCGATATTGTCCCATTTCAGCATGATTTTATTTCCCACTGCCCACTGGAAGACTCTGTTGATATCTATCAGTAATGATAGATTTTGATATCATCCGTAAAGAATGATAGGAAGCTGTGGTTGATGTCCCGAATGTTCTGTGTCAGCAGCTAGAGAAACAAGCAGGGAGACAGGAGAGTGCCCTGGAGTACTGCATGTATATAGAGTCGATTTTAGGAGGTGTACAGGTGACATGTAGCCTTAATGATCCTCGTGTAGTAGATAGTCTTGAAACCCCATTAACCAACCAACCAATTAACCTTATTTAATGGGCCACTCTAAATCTGTGTTATTTTTATTGTTATAATAATAATAATAATAATAATAATAATAATAATAATAATAATAATAATAATTATTATTATTATTATTATTATTATTATTATTATTATTATTATTATTATTGCTGTTAGTATTACTGTTGTAGAGTTACTGTTGTAGTGTTACTGTTGTAGTGTTACTGTTGTAGAGTTACTGTTGTAGCGTTACTGTTGTAGTGTTACTGTTGTAGTGTTACTGTTGTAGTGTTACTGTTGTAGTGTTACTGTTGTAGAGTTACTGTTGTAGCGTTACTGTTGCAGTGTTACTGTTGTAGTGTTACTGTTGCAGTGTTACTGTTGTAGTGTTACTGTTGTAGTGTTACTGTTGCAGTGTTACTGTTGTAGTATTACTGTTGTAGAGTTACTGTTGTAGTGTTACTGTTGTAGTGTTACTGTTGTAGAGTTACTGTTGTAGCGTTACTGTTGCAGTGTTACTGTTGTAGTGTTACTGTTGCAGTGTTACTGTTGTAGTGTTACTGTTGCAGTGTTACTTTTGTAGTGTTACTGTTGTAGTGTTACTGTTGTAGTGTTACTGTTGTAGTGTTACTGTTGTAGTGTTACTGTTGTAGTGTTACTGTTGCAGTGTTACTGTTGTAGTGTTACTGTTGTAGTGTTGCTGTTGTAGTGTTACTGTTGTAGTGTTACTGTTGTAGTGTTACTGTTGTAGTGTTACTGTTGTAGTGTTACTGTTGTAGTGTTACTGTTGTAGTGTTACTGTTGCAGTGTTTACTTTTGTAGTGTTACTGTTGTAGTGTGTACTGTTGTAGTGTTACTGTTGTAGTGTTTACTGTTGTAGTGTTACTGTTGTAGTGTTACTGTTGCAGTGTTACTGTTGCAGTATTACTGTTGTAGTGTTACTGTTGTAGTGTTACTGTTGTAGTGTTACTGTTGTAGTGTTACTGTTGTAGTGTTACTGTTGCAGTGTTACTGTTGTAGTGTTACTGTTGCAGTGTTACTGTTGTAGTGTTACTGTTGTAGTGTTACTGTTGTAGTGTTACTGTTGTAGTGTTACTGTTGCAGTGTTACTGTTGTAGTGCTACTGTTTAGTGTTACTGTTGCAGTGTTTACTGTTGTAGTGCTACTGTTGTAGTGTTACTGTTGTAGTGTTACTGTTGCAGTGTTACTGTTGTAGTGTTACTGTTGTAGTGTTACTGTTGCAGTGTTACTGTTGCAGTGTTACTGTTGTAGTGCTACTGTTGTAGTGTTACTGTTGCAGTGTTACTGTTGTAGTGTTACTGTTGTAGTGTTACTGTTGCAGTGTTACTGTTGTAGTGCTACTGTTGTAGTGTTACTGTTGCAGTGTTACTGTTGTAGTGCTACTGTTGTAGTGTTACTGTTGTAGTGTTACTGTTGCAGTGTTACTGTTGTAGTGCTACTGTTGTAGTGTTACTGTTGCAGTGTTACTGTTGTAGTGTTACTGTTGCAGTGTTGCTGTTTTAGTGTTACTGTTGTAGTGTTACTGTTGCAGTGTTGCTGTTGCAGTGTTACTGTTGTAGTGTTACTGTTGTAGTGTTACTGTTGTAGTGTTACTGTTGCAGTGTTACTGTTGCAGTGTTACTGTTGTAGTGTTACTGTTGCAGTGTTGCTGTTTTAGTGTTACTGTTGCAGTGTTACTGTTGCAGTGTTACTGCTAGTGTTACTGTTGTAGTGTTACTGTTTGCGTTCCTGTTGCAGTGTTACTGTTAGTGTTACTGTTGCAGTGTTACTGTTAGTGTTACTGTTGCAGTGTTACTGTTAGTGTTACTGTTGTAGTGTTACTGTTTGCGTTCCTGTTGCAGTGTTACTGTTAGTGTTACTAGTGTAGTGTTACTGTTAGTGTTACTAGTGTAGTGTTACTGTTAGAGTTGCTGTTGCAGTGTTACTGTTAGTGTTACTGTTGCAGTGTTACTGTTAGTGTTACTGTTGCAGTGTTACTGTTGTTGTGTTACTGTTAGTGTTACTGTGAGTGTTACTGTTGTAGTGTTACTGTTGTTGTGTTACTGTTGCAGTGTTGCTGTTGCAGTGTTACTGTTAGTGTTACTGTTGCAGTGTTACTGTTAGTGTTACTGTTGCAGTGTAACTGTTGTAGTGTTACTGTTAGTGTTACTGTTGCAATGTTACTGTTAGTGTTACTGTTGCAGTGTTACTGTTACTGTTATTGTTGTAGTGTTACTGTTGCAATGTTACTGTTAGTGCTACTGTTGCAGTGTTACGGTTAGTGTTACTGTTGCAGTGTTACTGTTGCAGGGTTACTGTTGCAGTGTTACTATTACTGTTATTGTTGTAGTGTTACTGCTGTGGTGTTACTTTTAGTGTTACTGTTGCAGAGTTACTGTTAGTGTTACTGTTGTTGTGTTACTGTTAGTGTTACTGTTGCAGCGTTAATGTTGCAGTGCTACTGTTAGTGTTACTGTTGTAGTGTTACTGTTGCAGAGTTACTGTTAGTGTTACTGCTTTTATTACTGTTGCAGTGTTACTGTTAGTGTTACTGTTGCAGTGTTACTGTTGTAGTGTTACTTTTGCAGTGTTACTGTTGTTGTGTTACTGTTAGTGTTACTGTTGCAGCGTTAATGTTGCAGTGCTACTGTTAGTGTTACTGTTGTGGTGTTACTGTTGCAGAGTTACTGTTAGTGTTACTGCTGGTATTACTGTTGCATTGTTACTGTTAGTGTTACTGTTGCAGTGTTACTGTTGTAGTGTTACTGTTGCAGTGTTACTGTTGTTGTGTTACTGTTAGTGTTACTGTTGCAGTGTTACTGTTGTTGTGTTACTGTTAGTGTTACTGTTAGTGCTACTGTTGCAGTGTTACTGTTGTAGTGTTACTATTAGTGTTACTGTTGCAGTGTTACTGTTGTGTTACTGTTGCAGTGTTACTCTTGTAGTGTTACTGTTAGTATTTCTGTTGCAGTGTTACTGTTGTAATGTTACTGTTAGTGTTACTGTTGCAGTGTTACTGTTAGTATTTCTGTTGCAGTGTTACTGTTAGTGTTACTGTTGTAGTGTTACTGTTATTGTTGCTGTTGCAGTGTTACTGTTAGTAGTTCTGTTGCAGCGTTACTGTTAGTGTTACTGTTGTAATGTTACTGTTAGTGTTACTGTTGCAGTGTTACTGTTAGTATTTCTGTTGCAGCGTTACTGTTAGTGTTATTGTTGTCATGTTACTGTTGTAATGTTACTGTTGCTGTTGCAGTGTTACTCTTAGTACTTCTGTTGCAGCGTTACTGTTAATACTCACCTATTTGTGGTTGCAGGGGTCGAGTCTTAGCTCCTTTTGCCGTGTTACTGTTGCATTGTTACTGTTGCTGTTGCAGTGTTACTCTTAGTATTACTGTTGCAGTGTTACTGTTAGTGTTACTGTTGTAGTGTTACTTTTAGTGCTACTGTTGCGGTGTTACTGTTAATTTTACTATTGTAGTGTTACTGTTAGTGTTACTGTTGAAATGTTACTGTTAGTGTTACTGTTTGCAATGTTAACTGTTAGTATTACTGTTGAACTGTTGCTGCTAGTGTTACTGCTGCAATGTTGCTGTTAGTGTTACTGTTGCAGTGTTACTGTTAGTGTTACTGTTGCAGTGTTAATGTTAGTGTTACTGTTGCAGTGTTACTGTTAGTGTTACTGTGCAGTGTTACTGTTAGTGTTTACTGTTGCAGTGTTAATGTTAGTGTTACTGTGTAGTGTTACTGTTAGTGTTACTGTTGCTGTGTTACTGTCAGTGTTGCTGTTGCAATGTTACTGTTAGTGTTACTGTTGCAGTGTTACTGTTAGTGTTACTGTTGCAGTGTTACGGTTAGTGTTACTGTTGCAATGTTACTGTTAGTGTTACTGTTGCAGTGTTACTGTTAGTGTTACTGTTGCAGTGTTACTGTTAGTGTTACTGTTGCAATGTTACTGTTAGTGTTACTGTTGCAATGTTACTGTTAGTGTTACTGTTGCAGTGTTACTGTTAGTGTTACTGTTGCAATGTTACTATTGCAATGTTACTGTTAGTGTTACTGTTGCAGTGTTATGGTTACTGTTAGTGTTACTGTTGCAGTGTTACTGTTGCAGTGTTACTGTTAGTGTTACTGATGCAGTGTTACTGTTAGTGTTACCGCTAGTGTTGTGTTACTGATGCAGTGTTACTGTTAGTTTTAGTGTTACTGATACACTGTTAGTATTGCAGTGTTACTGATACACTGTTAGTGTTACAGTGTTACTGATACACTGTTAGTGTTACAGTGTTTCTGTAAGTGTTACAATGTTGCTATTAGTGTTACTGATGCAGTGTTACTGCTAATTTTAGTGTTTCTGATACACTGTTAGTGTTACGGTGTTATTGATACTCTCACCTAATTGTATTTGCACTCACCTGTAACACTGTTAGTGTTACACTGTTATTGTTAGTGTTACATTGTCACTGTTACTAATACAGTGTTATTGTGAGAGTGTTACTGATGCAGTGTTACTGTTACAGGCGTGATGATCATGGATGGGGTGCGTGGGGTGAGCGGGGGGTCCAGCCCCCATGTGCGTGGGGTGAGCGGGGGTCCAGCCCCCATACATCTCCCACGAAGCGAAGCTTCGATGTGGCCTTCCTAACAGTGCTCGTGACCACATCCTTGACCCCGAGGTGGCCACACCTGCTGCTAAAGTGAGCCGTATGGGCGGCCTGAAGGTCACATCGCCGCCAACGGCCACAGCATCACCGCCCCTGCCGCCCTCGCCGCCCAGAGAGGAGGTCACAACAGGCAGCGCCTTCACGAAGGTCACTCGATCTCAAGGTTCTTCGCCGCCTCACTTCAGCGCGGCGTCAGCTACTCTGGAAGCTCTTAGCTCCGCTTGGCCGCCAGTTTCCGCCTCTTTTAGCGCCGTTAGCTCGCTGTTGGGTAGCGGTAAGTCCCTGGCACCCCTGCTGGCAGCCCCTGGGTTGCTAAATCCTGGGTTGGCACCCTTCCTGCCCCACGCTACCCCAGATCGCCTCAACAACAACCTTGTTGAAGAATACTTGAAGTCTCACCACCAGCTTATCGATTCCAAACACAGCGATATGTCTGCCAGCGAAGCGCTATCCCGTCTGCGGTCAACTATGTGTCCGACAGACCCTTACAAACTGCCGTTTACGTCCCTAACGTACCCGCTATCTGCTCCGTCTGCCGCCGACGCTGCGAAACTCAGTGCCGCGTCGCCGTTCTTGTCGCAGCCGTCCGTGTCAGCGCTAATGCCTCCGTCGCTGACGTCCTTCGGCCAGACGACGCAGAACGTGTGCGCCAAGTGCAACATTTCTTTCCGCATGACGTCGGATCTAGTGTACCACATGCGTTCCCAGCACAAGAGAGAGGCCGATCCCTACAAGAAGCGTCGCAACGAGCGTCTGAAATGCAACATTTGCAACGAGAGTTTCAGGGAGAGGCATCACTTGACACGCCACATGAGTGCTCACCAGGATCGTGACGATGATACCCAGACCAAGTGAAGGACCCATACCCACTAGCCCAGCCACTCAGGGCTGCCCATACTAGTCAGCCACCGAGGCTGCCCATTCCAGCCACCCAGGGCTGCCCATAATTGCTAGTCCAGCCATCCAGGGCTGCCCATAATTAGTAGTCCGGCTACCCAGGGTCACTGGCCCCTAACATACACAAAGTGGGTTATTTCTCATACCTTCAACCCAAACGGCTATATTACACTAACAGTGATTAAGTGTGACAAGAGCTGTGACAGTGACACAAGAACAGTGATTGTGACAGGAGTAGTGATAGTGATACTGTTACAGTGATTGGCTGTAAAATGAGCAGTGATCATGTGATACAAGAACAGTGATTAGCTAATGTCAAACCGGTGATTATCTTACACATGGACAGTAATTAGTTGAATCTGATTAGCCAGCTAATGGAGTTTCAAGACTATCTACTACACGAGGGTCATTAAGGCTACATGTCACCTGTACACCACCAGTCAAGAATACTTTAATACCTAAAATACTGATTAATGTAAACTACCAGTGTATATACACTGAGATATACACCTCTCAGTGTATATACACTGAGATATACACCTTTCAGTGTATATACACTGAGATATACACCTTTCAGTGTATATACACTGAGATATACACCTCTCAGTGTATATACACTGAGATATACACCTCTCAGTGTATATACACTGAGATATACACCTCTCAGTGTATATACACTGAGATATACACCTTTCAGTGTAATACACTGAGATATACACCTTTCAGTGTATATACACTGAGATATACACCTCTCAGTGTATATACACTGAGATATACACCTTTCAGTGTATATACACTGAGATATACACCTCTCAGTATATATACATTGACTCATAAGGATCATTCACTTGCACTAAGAGATGGAACATACAAAGGCAGTGACTGAGCTAAAAATTAATTTACAAAAAAGACATAAGCAACAGAAAGCAAAGAAAACAGAAACTGCAAATACGTGTAAGTCCTAAGGACAATAACAGTGCTGGATCTGTTGTGCTGGGGACGTTGTTTTAAGATTGTCCTTGATTCTACGTACATGGCTCCGTCAACGTGTGGATTATATCTCCAGTAACACATCAAAATGATGCAGTTGATGTGCATAAAGCTGAACAATGTGGCAACTAACTTTAATATCAATTGCACGTGTATTATTTTTTCCAATGGGAAATTTAGTGCAGTTACCCCTCGACAGATTTAAAATTTCTGAGACGTCCTAAATTTTATGCAAATATTCACAGAAAATAATATTTAATTTCACAATACCACCGATTTTCTTACTCAATTTTATTTTGTACATATATTCGTAGTTTAAAATAACCAAATTTCTCTAACATAATAGCGAATTTGCATAAATTTAGGTAACTCAGATGGGCCAATTCTCACGGGTAACTTAAGGAATTACTAGACAAATTAACGCTATATACATCACTGTAAATGATTACGAAATATGTAAAGTACAGTGTAACCTGGTTAACGAGGCTCTGAAGTACACAGTACGATGTAATAATTTATGTACAGACTATTAGAAGTGATTTATCATTTAACAAGACATGAACCACATCCCGTTTTCTGTTTACACTAAAAAAAAGAATTTTTGTGGCAAACTATTTAGAAGTATATATATATATATATATATATATATATATATATATATATATATATATATATATATATATAATATATATATTATATATATATATATATATATATCTTAGTCACCCTTGTAAATAATATATGTAAATTATTATAATTATTATTGTTGTGGCTATTATTATTAATAATAATTTTTTTATTCTGTGTATATTAGCTAGATTTATATAAGTTATTATTGTTTTATATAATTATTATTCATATTGCATATTATTATTATTATTATTATTATTATTATTATTATTATTATTATTATTATTATTATTATTATTAATTGCATTTAGAGTAAAATATAAGTTAGTATTGAGACTAGTTCAGAGACTAGTTCAGAGACTAGTCGTACTGAGACTAGTTCAGAGACTAGTCGTACTGAGACTAGTTCAGAGACTAGTCGTACTAAGACTAGTTCAGAGACTAGTCGTACTGAGACTAGTTCAGAGACTAGTCGTACTGAGACTAGTTCAGAGACTAGTCGTACTGAGACTAGTTCAGAGACTAGTCGTACTGAGACTAGTTCAGAGACTAGTCGTACTAAGACTAGTTCAGAGACTAGTCGTACTGAGACTAGTTCAGAGACTAGTCGTACTACTATAGACTAGTTACAAGAGACTAGTTCAGAGACTAGTCGTACTGAGAC